GATAAAATTCCAAGTATTTGATCTAGAAAAGATATGATAAAAGTGGTGTTTGGGATGATTAGGCTGCAAGTACCAAATAGATGTTGATACCATCAGCTAGTAGTAAAGATCACAGTGGCTTTCAAACTTCCTAAAGTTAAAAATCACCTGGGTCAATTGTTAAACATGTGGGATTTAGAACAGTGTCTGGAACATAGCAGGTACTCAACATACACTTGTTAAATTAAATTGACTTTTCACCAATCATGTGTCTATCCAAATCCAGGTGTTATTTGTTTGGGGTTTGCAAGTGATTGCCATAGATATTGTGTTTTAATAGAAGAGGTTAGAATGCTGCTAAATCTGTCAACATTCAAATGAAAATAAGTTGTAATACAGAATTGAGTCATCCATATACTGATGCATTCACTCAGTTAATAATTCATCCATGCAATTATTCTTTTGTTCACTTAATAAATATTGAGCATCCATCAGGAGTACCAGGATACAGAGGTAAATGAGATATACAAAGTCTCTGGCTTCATGGAGCTTATATTTTGATGTGAGGGACTAACAATAAACATGTGTGAAATATTACAGGATAATAGAGAACATATCTTGTCTTTGTCTTCAGTCCCTAGTACAGAACTTCAAAAACTCTTAGCATTTCCTACATCATAGGGTGTCTTGGTTATGCTAATGAGGGAACTAATGGTGGTTCTCTAGATAGCTTTAGAATGAGGCCTGATGACCAGTCAGACCAGAGGGTTGGAACATTGTGCTGGCCTACCCTCTAAGAGTAAGGGGGAGTCGGGTGATGAAGATAGTATCTAATCATGAACCTACAAACATAAGCTCTAATAAAAACTCTGCCCATTGAGGTGAATTTGTGATCACATTGATGTGTGGGGAGCGTGCACCCCCATTCTACATGGAGAGGGGCTAGAAACTGTGTTCTTTCTCAGACCTCTCCTATATGTATCATTTATAATAAAACTATAATTATAAGCATAGAATTTTCCTGAGTTGTTCTAATGGGTTAATAAAGCTGAGAGGATTATGGAAACTCCTGAACTTATGGACAGTACATTAGAAGGTAGTGTGGGTTGGGGATCCCTAAAGAGTGGCTGTCATTTGAAATAAGGATACTTTTATGGAGTACTGAACCTTCAACACATGGGATCCACATATATTCTAGGTAATTAGTGCCAGAATTGATTTGAATTGAAGCACACCCATTTTGGGATGGCAACAGAAAAGCAATAATAAGAGTGTGAATAGTGTGAAGTAGTATACCTTCCTTATTGGTCCTTCAGGGATTGCTTTAAGGAGAGCATGGAACATGAGTTAGAAGTTGAGGAACTGGTGATATTTAAATGGACAAAAAAGTAAGGGTTAAAAAGTAGTCTGAAGCCCTTGCAAGTGCTAGAGTGAGACTTTTTGATGTCTAATATTTATATTATTCAGATATTTTCTCTGATGGCTCACCCAAATAGGATGTCCTTCCTGACATCTAGGAACTGATAAAAAGGATATTTTTTGGTAATATTATCACTAATCAAAGCAATGCTAATGTTCATTCCTTGCTTATTACAGTTTGTAAAGGTCTTTTATATGTTATCTCATTATTTTTAAAATAACACTCTGAAGTAGATTATTATTTTCTGCAGTTTTATGAATAAAGAAACTGGTGTCAAGAGAAGTGAAGAGAATTGCCCATATTTTTATGGCTATAAAAAGACAGACTTTGCTTCAAGCTCATGTCTTTTAACAAGAAATATATGTTCTGTACACTATAGCAAAACTTCCCTTTAAAATTCAGAGCCATCATTATATTGTTTGTTTGATTTGTGTGATGGTCAATTTTAGGTGTTAACTTGACCAGATTAAGATAGTTGGTAAGCACCATTTCTGGGTATATCTTTGAGGGGGTTTTCAGCATTGGAATCAGTGGTCCTCTACCCTTACCCAAAGTGGGTAGCCACCACTCAATTCTCCCAGATAGAATAGAAAGGTGGAGGAAAGGTGAGTTCATTCCCTCTCTTTTGAAGCTGGAACACTCATATTCTCCTGAACCTAAACATTAGAACTTTAGGTTCCCTGGCCTTTGAATTTTGGACTTACACCAGCAGCACCTCAGATGCTCAGACCTCTGGCCTCACATGGAGAGTTACACTATGGCTCCCTTGGTTCCCAAACCTTTGAACTTGAACTGAGCCAGATTGCCACTTGCCTGGTTCTCCAATTTACATATAGCTTGTTGTGGGACTTCGCAGCCTTCATAATCACATGAGCCATTTTTTCTATTAAATCCTCCTTTTATATCTACTATCTATCTATCTATTGTCCATCTATTTTATTTCTTTGGAGAATGCTGACTGATAGAATTTGGTTTGATTTTCATTTAGCAAAATTAACAAAACTCCAAATTGCTATTGAATTGAATAATTAATGGATCCCAAAGGAAGATGGAGATAGAATCTGTAATTCTACTTCAAGAGTAGTGTTCTATTTCTCATTGACCACTCAAGTACGTTCTGTAAGGATTCAAAATAAGACCATGCTTGTAGACCATGGAATGAATCAAGATTTTTTTTCAACAGTGGAAGGCATTTTATCAGTTATGGGTGCCCAAAAAAATGTCTGTAGCTGTGAACTGAAGTTGACAACCAGGCAGAATTGGGGTCCTTCTGAAGTAGTGATTCTCAACCTTGCTAATGCCACAGCCCTTTAATACAGTTCCTGTGGGTTGTGACCCACAGGTTGAGAACCACTGCTCTAAAGAAATGATTCCTATAGAAAACATATTTTTCTTTACCTTGTAAAGTGTCCTTAAGTTTAAGTAAATATGAGAGCATTGAACGTAGGAATTTTTAACAGGTATTTTGAAACTGAGTGGGGTTTTGCCAAGTTTCAGGGTCTTGGTGTATTCCTATTGGTCAATGTTATGAATGATTCCTTTTTGTAATAAGATAGAAGGCACTTGAAAAAAAAAAGATAGAAGGCCCTTGTAGTGTACTCAGTGATTTATATTAAAAGTCATAATAATTTTCCTTTGTATAGTATTATTTTTGAAAATATCTTGGTAGTGAATTTTTCTTATCTTTCTAGCTTTCATGGCTAAGGTGAGGAGCTTGAAAATGTTTCTTTTTTTTTTTAACAGCAGAAACTTATTTAATGTTAAACCTAACAGGAAAGTACATTTACTACTTTTCTTTAGAAATAAACACAGAATCAAATGAAATGTTCTCCCAATTATCACATTCATTAAGGACTATTTTGGATACAATAACGAACTTTTTGCTTCTGATTGAAGATAGAATTCATGATGATAAATTAGTGAGTATATCTACTGGAAGCTGCCAAATTATAGGGCTGAGTGAATACAATTAATAAAATCTTTCACCACCTACATGAAAATGATAAATCTAAAAAGCCCCCAAAACATCTTTCACATATAAATATAGGTCTTTCTTTGAGGAAATGCCAGGTAAAAATTAACTTTGAACACTAACATGGCTTCATCTGGTTGATTTGTCTGCCCGGGAGTCTGGGTTTGAGGCGTTAACTTTCTTGTGTTCAGACAGGGGTGACTCCCCATTAAACCTAGAGCAAAATGAGAGAATCTCATATTTCAGGTTTATCAGGTGCTGCTCAGTCACAATGGCTGCCGGAATCACAAAGCTTTAGGCATGTTAACAGGCATGAATGTGAGCTGGTTAGAAGAAACAGATTTAATAGAGATCACAGTAGAAGTGGAACACCAGAAACTGCTACCTGTTAAATTCAACTTTGTTACTGGTGGTCAGACTAACAGGCTGATAATAGAAGTAGAAAGTGAAGATGTTGATGATGATGATGATAATGATCATTATTAGAAATGGCTTCTGTATGTTGAGTTCTTAATTGACTAGACAATGTGTTATGCGTATTTTACTTTTTGTGCCTTCCCAACAATATGAAGAAATTATTATTATTCTCTTTCTTCAGAGGAGGAAACAGAATGCACCAATACTGTTTTTATGGAATTCAGCACTTTTATTGTCATTAAGACCTTCCCTACACCTCCTTTGCCTAGAAGGTCATCTCTCTCCTCTACAAATCTATGTGTCTTTTTAATTTGGGGTTATCAAGAAGTGTTGACTGCCATGACTTTTCAGAATTGAATTTAAACAGTTCATCAGTATAACTTTGGTTCACTTCTTTTTGAACATTTTTCCATGGGAGTTTTCCATACTCCCACTCAAAGTTCTCCAAAAGTTAGAGAGTACCTTCTATTTCTTTTGAATCTTCCCAAGATTCTCTAGAACAATGCTCTAATTGGAATAGAAATTCCATACATTTTGTTTTTCAGTAGGATTAGATCTACCATGTTTTTAAATATTTCTGAAAAATGAAATGCTGCTTCTACTCTTGTTAGCACATCTCAAAGTCTATCAGCATTAACTGTAAAGATGTTTGCCCTTTCTTCTTGCTAGATTACCTCATGCCAGCCCCTCTCTTCACTGAATCTTTCAAACTTTCTCTATGTTATAGCCTTTTATATACTTGTTATATGTTTTATATCTTCCTTCATCTGCTTAAAGACAAATTAATGGCTCTTCAAATTATCATTACAGATTTATTTATTATTAATATGGATATCTCCCTTTGAATTATGTTCTAAATAATTAACAGCAGAGGAAACATCTGAAACTAAATATAAATTATTATCCTAGTTCTCTTGTATTTTTGCTCACGGAAAATCATGACATACCTATGTTCTGTAATGATTAGTTCTCAAGTTAGTGACTTGTTTGCAAGACTCCTTGAGCTTGGATTACCTAAAAGTTACATTCATAGGCATTTCTTTCTCTTCTGTAGAAATTTAGGTTTTAGTTTTCTTGTAACTTTTTAAAATTAATTAATTAATTTTTTTGCAGTTTTTGGCTGGGGCTGGGTTTGAACCCACCACCTCTGGCATATGGGACTGGCACCCTACTCCTTTGAGCCACAGGCACCACCCTTGTTTTTTAAAATTTAAACAATGGTTAGATGCTACAAGTAGATGGCATTTCCTCAACTGTATGCGGATTGTCAAGGCTGGGGTCTCTTCCATCTTTCTCTACGGGAGTTCTAACCTTCTCTCTTTCATACAATGCTCTAACAACTTTTAATTAAAAGGGAGAAGGAAAATAAGTTAGAAAGACACCTGACTACTTCTAGCTAGAAGTGTTAAACTTTTCATTACAATTCAGTTGTGTATTTCCCTAGGAATATAGAAGCTGTATTTATGAAGATAGGTTTTCTTATGGTGGTAGATTGAGGTATTGGTGCTTATAATGAAAATGTTTCAGTATTTTCCTTGAGCACACCCAGACCCTAATCTCTGTTTTCAAGTGTTCCTTTTAGTGTCACATTGCAAAATTAATCTTTCCATTTGCTTCACTCCACACCGTTTAATACTGCTTGACTCTACATAAAGCACCGTGACATGAGCTTTAAATAAAAGCTGGATATGGCCAAGTAGTGTGCATATTGTGTTTGGGATTAAGAAACTAAATTCGACAGGTAATGGAGTAGGATTTAACTGCTCCATGATGCTAAACTGTGAGGTGTCATGTCAATCATCTGTCTAGAAATATAAGCTCTGAAAGGAAAGTGAGATGTATTTCAGATGCCTAATCACACAAGCAAAAGGTTAGCTCCTCAAGGAAGGGTAGTGGGCAGACTGCTACTCTTCATCTCTCTCTAGGGGAGTCTGAGAGTTAAGGCCATCATACAAATAGGCTTATTTGCTACAGGATTAGCTAGGTTTCCTTGGAGACATAATAAAGAAACTTCTGCAACAAATGGCCAGTTCCTCATATCAAATAAAGGGGAAACAGAACTTAAAAGCAGGGAGGGAGTGTGGAACATTTACAGAGCGTTTCCTACCTATTTAAGAGAAAAGCATGTCAAGTATATAAAAGACTTAGATTTTGAAATATTTCTTGCTAAAGGAGATGCCAATAACATTAAGCACCTTCTCCTATCCTTGATGACCAGGAAGTTTTCAACCCAATTTTATATTCAATCACGATAACTATATTAGTTTAATTCTTTGATAAATTTGCTGTAATTTAATATTTTTCCCTATATTTTAGCTGTCCTAATTTTTCATTGTAATTCTTTCTTTGAAGGAGGTAAGATGCAATTAATAAATGACAAATACAATGTCCTCTGAAAATACAAATTATCTGTCTATCCATCTATCTACTTTGAAGGATGACACAAAGAGTGCTTGGAACTAAATTGCTGAAGTGTGTGATTATGCATTTAGTCCAGAGTCTCAACTTGATGTGTAGTGCTTTTACTGTGCAGCTCCCATTAACACTGATTGTCCAATTTAGTGCTTCATTAATGAGCCATAGACCACTTGTAAATTTCTGACTTACAGAATCAAACACATTTAAAGTTTTATTCTCCTGAAAATGTCTTCACCTGACAAGCTGATAATAAAAGCTTTGCGTTCTTGCATCCACTTAACCCTTCTGCCATGTCAATTTGGGTTATTGTCAGTTGGCATTCTCTTTTTAAAAAATGTATCTAACATTTGTAGCGATAATAATAACAAGACCAAACATTTGTATGGTGCTTACTATGTGCTAAGGTTACTGTCATTTATTGATGACTGACGATTTTCCAGGTGTGTTGTTACAAGTATTCCTTATATATTAATTTATTTAATGCACATGACTCCGTGATATCACTATGCCTGTTATTTCCATTTTATTGATGGCATTACTAAGAGAGATTAAGTAATTTGCCAAAGGTTACAGATCTGGGAATTTGAATTGGGAAAGTCTGGCTCTAGAGTATGCCTTCTAAAGCCTGATCTTATGTCCTAAGTATATATTCATTCCCAGAAAGTAGAAAAGGGCTATATAAAGGCAAAAAGGAACTGATGGATTTGTCTACAATAGGCAAAGAATGACAATCTGCACAGCAGTCAGCCTTTACATAAAGGTTTTGCTTTATATTTTCTTGATAGAACTCTTAGTGACTATACCCACAATCATTTCATCAGCTCTAAGGAAGCATAATGTGTATTACGTCTCATATTCAAAAACTGGAAATTTGTAGATAAGCACGGACCAAATTTAGAATAAAAAAATTGAAATTTCTGTCATCGAAAATCATAATATTGTCAATTGGGTCAACACACTTTGAAAACAATAAGTGATAAATATGCAAATTCCACCAGTGGCTGTGATCAATCAAGTAAGTAGAATGAATAAAAATATATAAAAGTATTTGTAAGACATTTGAGAAATTGACTTTGATAAGCAAAAAACCCACATAATTATTTCCTGCCTGAAGCCAGAAGAAAAAGTAATTATATCTAGAATGTGCTTTTGCCCAATTCTGCCAATCAAAATCGTGCTCCATCTTCAAAGGCTGCATCTTCAGAGTAGCTTTTCTGATTCCTCAAGTCCTCTACAATATTTTGTGTGTCTTCGACACTTTCTCTGAAACAGAGCTTTGTATATTGTCTTTTTGTGTATTTTTATTATGTGCTACAATATTTTGTAAATTCTTTACAGGTATGGACAATATCTTTTCCACCTTTCTACATATTTATAAGCAATCAACAAATATACATTGAACAACTGACTGGCAACCTCACGTGGTCTCCAGTGGTTTGGGGTCATGAATACACTGAGTAACCAATCTGTAAATCATATTTATTCTAACACTTGTAATGAATGGATAAAGCCTAAAATTATGAGAGAAAATTAACATAAAAAAGCAATTACATATGGACAGCAAATAAGGAGAGCTGCCTTACCTTGCAAGACTGGGTGAGTGAACAAGATCTCAGCAGAGAATTAGAAATTATCTACTGCAAAATGTAGACTAGAAATAGTTTCCTGATGAGCTAAAGATTCTGTTATCTGTGTAACCAGAAAGCAATTAACCTAAAATATAACCAGTTCCACATCATCCACCAACTAGGAATGATAATATAGTACGATAAATGAAAAAGTGACTTAATGACGATTGCAAGCAAAAGTCAGTTGTCCTAATGGGATATACTATCATAAGACCTGGAAGGGGGGACCACCGTATCAGAAATAACCTTTACATTATTGAAAAGTGATGGAGACACTATGTAATAGAAAGACAAATTTAAATATTATAACTAGACGAACAAACTCTGTTTGAAACTATTTTAAATTGCACATGAACTTTATGGAAATTATGTATCTGGTATTACTACCCAACTCATTTTGTTTTGATAGTGGTTTAACAAAAACCTCCAAGTTACCGAGTTGGCTCTGCACATGCTTTTATACTATTTTGGGTATCCAGATTTTAGACTTACTTGTTTCAGTTACAACTTATTTTACATGCCTACTGATCAATAATCTTCAGGCTAATATCCTGATCAATCAGCAGCTCTCTTCAGATAAGGGGTAATGTCAAACTGATGAAATTATTCATTCTCATGTGATTATTCCATCTTAGGCCAACCCTCTTGCCAAGGTCCATGGTTTTCTTGGATATAGTTCAGGGCACAAAATATATGCACAGACATGCTTAGGAGTTTCTTTTGTGTTTTTATTTATGCTCATCAAGACCATAATAATCATTCTCTTTTGGGCAGTGAGGGGGCCAAATACCCCCATTATGTCTGGACTGATTGGGTTCTCTGAAGACAGTTTCAGAGTATCATTTGGCTTGTAGTCAGTTACATAAGTAGTTTTATCTACTTTATAAAGTAATTATCTACTTTATTCAGTTCATAAAAGTAGATAATTTGCTGCATCCTTTGTTTCCGCTTTTCCAAAAGTCTCTCTCTTCAGATCTTCTTGTAGGAAAACAGAACTTTTCTCCCAAGGACAGAACACATCTTGAATACACAATGATGTATCTTTTAAATATAACATGGAGTATGAGTATACCCTAGGCTCGTACTTTTGCCTATCTTTATAATCCCTTTTAATTACTAATTTTTACAGGATTTATTTATTTTAATATTAAAAGAATACCCCCATTAAAATTCTTCATTGCTTTTGGTAATAGTGAAGTAGCCATTGCTTGACAAATGCCTTTTGCAAAGATAGAAGCAATGTGAACAGTCTCTGAAACTATCATGCAAGATAGAGGGAGTCATACAGAATCATTTGGAGGTAACTAAAAAAGGTTCCCCATTTTCCACAAGGAGTGAGAGGTGAATTCTAGAAGAAGTGGAAATCTCTAAAGGTCACCCTTGAACTTTTACACTGGAGTAGATGTGGTAAAAAGTACAATATTGGAGCTATTAAAATTTAGATTGCTTATGTGATTTGCACAGAAAACACACTGTTTCTTTGAGTCATAAATCCTTTGGGAACAAATCTGATGCCAGAGAGAATGTGTAACTTAGAAACAGAAATGTACATTTCCTCCCTAGGGTGGAAGAAAGGAATAGAGAATGTTTTTTAAAGTGCCTTTTGCATTTACATCTATAGGAGGTGGAAGAAAAAAAACCCAGCACTTCAATTTTCTAGTCTGGTTCATTAATCATATTAGCAATGTTTAGGGAAAACACAAGACAGAATGAAATACAGTTCCAACTGGCACAGTGCAGCATTTAGGATTTCTAGAATATAGCATAACACTCAAAAAATATACTGTAAATAGTTTCCAAAAAAGAAGAAACCTTGGTAATTCCATAAAATCCTGTGTTTTAAAGTTCTGAATTCATTTTAAAAATATAAACTCACAAATATATTTGGCAGTACAATAAAATTTGAAAATTTTATAACTATTATATAATAGAATAGAATCAAATTAAAAAAAATAGAGGTAGTTACCTAAAAGAAAATATGTATTACATTTATGCTGAGTATGATAATTTATTCATTTGATTCATGGCTTCAGTTATCAGCTTTATGTGGCTCATTACCAAATTTGTATCTCTAATCTGGTTTTTCTTTGAGATTCAGGTTCATGTCCCACCTAGCTTTACTGCTATTTGTCTCACGTCAAGCACAATTCATTATTTTTTTGATATCCCAAGTTGACATTTTTCTGTTGCTGAAAATGACCAAGCCATTGTCTGCATCCCACAGGGGTGAGGAACCTTGAAGTTATCATTGACTTGCAAGCTGTCTTCAGCTCCATCTCACAAATA